GGGCCTGAGACCCCAGGGCCTTCGGTCTTACTGAAGCGAGCGGCTGACGTTGTTGACGGAGAGTCCACGTCACAGCTTTCCGGGCCTCACCCTTTTCCTCCCGTCCAGTGTCGGGCCCTCGGTCGAGGCCCTGGGAAGGGACGGTTGTGCCCGCAGGGCCTGCGGCCCCCAGGAGGACGTGCGGGCGGAGCCGGCCTCGTCCCGGTAAGTTCATCATCTCCCGGGCGACTGTGCCACCTGCCCCTGGGGATCAGCTTCTGAGAGCAGTTTCACAAATGAGGGGAAGAAGATGCTTTTCCAGTTACCCGCGGAGAAGCGACGCTCATTACGTGGACGTGGAAGACGACGGGACGTGCCAGCTTATACCGCGCGTCATTTATGCACGGCGGCGGCTGGCTGCTGAGCGCCGGGGCCCTGGGATGGGCGTGATGTGCAGGCCGGTCACGGGGGAGCACAGACCTGCCCACGCCGGCCGCCTCCCTGCCAGTGGGCGTGTAGCTGGCCCCCCAAGTGCGGCCCGTCTGGGGAGAGGTGCGGGGGAGGGCGAAGGCCCTTCTGTGGGAGCGAGGCCGGCTGCTGTCCACCAGAGACCCCGCTGAGTCGCGTGGGCTTTCACCCTTGCACGGCTGCGCCTTCTGTCCGTGAGAGCTGCTCCTGGAGAGTCAGCAGGCTTGGGCTTGGTGTGGGCACGCCGCGGGCCACGTGGGAGGTGGCCCCTGGAGGGGCCTGGCTGTGGGCTGCAGACCCTGCTAAGCGATGTGTCCCTTGTTGGCGGAGGTCGCTGTGTTCGGGCCTCCCGGCCATTTGTTGACCTCGCATGAAATGCTTTTGCGCACAGTCAGGCCCGCACACGGCACAGACAAGGCAGGAAACTGAGCTGGATCGGCGGGCAGCCTGGGCCGGCCTGCGGCCCCTCGCGCTCAGCCCGGCTGAGGTGGTGGCGGCTGTTTTCGTCACTGCTGTGGACACAGAAGGGTCTGCAGAAGGGACTCTCGGCTGTGACCCTGCCCTCGCCCCTGAGGAGGGGACCCTTGGGACGGCAGCGGAGCCCCCACCCAGGGCCCCAGGGATGGCCGCGGCGGGTGCCCTGAGCTGAGGCTGGCGGGTGCCGGCGCTGACCCTCAGTGGCTCTCCCGGTGCCCTGGCTGGGGCCCGCAGCCTCGGTGATGAGCAGCGTTCTCACCTGGGACGCAGCACGGCCAGGCACGCGCTCGCTCCCAGCTCCCCCCCCGGACGTGTTTCCCTCTCAGACAGGTGCCCCGGGCCCTGGCCGGTGGGAACCAGGGAGCCGGCTCTGGGGTGCCACCAGGCTGAGACCAGCAGACGGCCGAGGCTGGGGCCTAGGACACCCAGGGGCGGTGCGCCTGCAGGTGCCGGGACAGGAAGGGCTGGTGCTCGCCTGACACACAGCGCGGAGCAGAGGACAGTGGGGGTGGGGGCCTGGCAGACGGGTCCAGCCTGACCCTCCACGCGGCTGTTCCAGCAGGACCCGGCAGGGCCCGGCTGGGTGGGACAGACAGGACGACCTTTCAGGCCGTGTGCGGGTGGCTTCCGGCTGCAGGCTCGGCGTGGTGGAAGGGGAGGCGTCTCTCAGGAGATGGGGCCGCGGGACGCTTGGGAGGGCGTTCCGGGAGAGAGGGTCAGTGCAAAGGCCCTGAGCTGGACGAGGGGTGGGCGTGGGGGCAGCTCAGGCCGAGTCTGCATTTGTTTCTTGTGTCCTGGGGTGGCGGGGTGGATGGTGGATGGGTCTGTGGCTGCCCGCGCTGTCCCTGGCCTGTGGTGGGCGTGTGCAGGGATGCTGGCCAGTGCCTGGTGGGGCCAGGATGGGCTGGAGGCAGTGGAGTGGGCTGTCTGGAGGCTGCCCCGGCGGCACAGGCGTCGCTGTTCCTTGCAGACTCCGTGGCTGCGCGATGCCCGGGCCAGCCTCTGGGACGGCGCCGCTGCCCGTCAGCTGGCAGCCTGGCTGGAAGCCGTCTGTTTTATTCCTGAGCTACCTGCCCCTTTATTTACATGTTTTTGGGATTAAAGTCTTAAAAATACCACATTCAGGCTATTTGGAGAGATTAAGTGGAGTTAAATCTAAACACCCTGCCTGGCCGGCAGCTCTCCGTGCTGGTGGGTGATCCGCACTCTGAGCCGAGCCGCATCTGCGGCTGTGTGTGGGCGCTGAGCAGAGCCCTGCCCAGCGGCCGGCCGAGGCGCCAGGGCCCAGAGGCAGTTACGAGGCTGTCCCCGTGGAAGTGTGAGCTCGGGTGTGGGTGGGGGAGCCGACCCGCCCCTCCACACCTGTCCCACGTGGTTAGGTGGCTCTGCCGGGGCTGCCGTCCAATCCCTGCCTGCGCCCTGGCAGCTGGGTGTCCTGGCCCGCAGGCCTTCGTGCGGCCCCGGGCCTGGGGCCCATCGTGTGTCCGCTCGCGTCACCTGGCCCCAACACCTGTGTCCGCTCTGGAATAGACTGGCCCTGGCAGAGCCGGGCCTCTGGTCCTCGCCTTGGGACGGGCTGGCCGGCTGCCTTGGCCTGCTGCTGCCTCTCCGGGAAATGGGACGGTGATGCTCCTGCCCCAGAGTTTCTGGGAGGCGCAGGCGCATCAGCTGAGGGCGCTCGGGAGTGCCTGCGTGCGATGTTGGCTGCGGTTCTCACCCTTACTGGCAGTGCCCATGGGCCCAGGCAGGTCCAGCAGCAGGAGGTCACCCAGCGGCTCCGCCTTCCGTGGCCCCTGCCCTCCATGCCCCTCCCTGCTTTCCTGCACCCTCGGCATGTCTCTCCCGGCCCCTCTGCAGCCGGGGCCACGGCCAGAGCTGGCCAATCCCATCTCCGCCCCTTGCCTCGGCCCTGGGCCTCAGGTCCGGGACCGTGTAGCAGGCTGGGGGGGCCTGCGCTTTGGTCAGCACTTCACCCTGTTGGTGCAGAACCTGCCAGTCGTGCTACGTGTTGTTCGTGATGTCGTGCTGTGCTCACGGCTGGCGCCGTGCTGTTCCCTGCGCTGTGCTCTGTCTGCGTCAGCGCATCCTGCTGAGTCCCGCAACGTGAACTCCTCACCAGCCCATGTCAGGGGGTGACGCTGGCCGGCTCTTCCCCGGGCACGGCTCTTCTCTGAGCACAAGAGAGAGCAGGCTCCTTGCTCGTGCCGCTCCCATGCGCTGCAGGCCCTGCCTCTCCTGCTCTGACTGCAGCTCCCTGGCCCGACCGGGAGGCTCTGGGGGCGGCCGGGCCTCTGGGCTCCTGCTGCTGGTGCAGGGCCGCCCTCCTGCTGGTGCAGGGCAGCCGGCCCCGCGGCCTTGGTGGCCCGCCGGCTCCAGGACCTCCTGGGGTCCCTGAGGGGCCTTTCCTGTGGAGCCCTCTCCCTGTCTCTCCTCTGGGGCTGTGGGGGCCGCCCACTGTACTGGCTCGTCTCGCGCCGCCCCAGCCCCCTGCGGCCCCCTGCGGGCTATGCGTCCGTGCCGAGAGCGCGGCAGGGCCCCTTGTCGAGCCGTTCTGGTCTTTGGTCTTGTTTAAAAATTCAGTTCTCGCAGGAAAGCTATTGACTTAAAATGAAAATCGTGCGTGAAAACCTGCGTTTGAATGTATTTCGACAAATATTTACCGGGTGCCCCCTGGGTTACAGGTGCGTGCCGCGGTGCGCGGGGCGGCGTGGTGGCCGCGCAGGTCATTCGGAACAGCCGTGGAAGGTGTCCCCCGCGGGCCAGCTTCCCCGCCAGCTGGCTGTCGGCTCTGGGCCAAGAAACTCACCCATAGGCCCGGCCCATCCTCTGTAGCTTCGGGGTGTGTGGGGGCTCAGGCTGCCAGCTCAGTGATAGTTAGGGGTGTGGGATGGCCTGCTCGGGACAGATGGGGCTGTGCGAGGAGGCGTGTTTGGGGCCGACGTCACGCATCCTGGTTTGAGCCGCCACCATCCAGCCTGCAGTGCATTAGTGTGAGCGGGGGGACCGGAGACCCCGCTGCGGCGGCAGAGCCCCCGGCTCAGGCTGGAGCAGGTGCTGATGCCTCCCATGCGACGTGGTCAGGCTCTGTAGGGGCTGCGCCCAGCAGAAGGGACCAGAGGGGCTCTGGGTGGACCCCCCAAAAGGCCAGAATGGGGCCATGGTCTTTTGTTTCTTAACCCCCGCCCCAGCAGGGTCTTCATCGAGGGCCTGTTGCTTGAGGACCCATGACCGCTCGGCAGCCGCGGTGGCAGGTGGTAGGGGCAGCAGCGTGGGCAGCTCCCGGGAGGCTGCAGGGCGGGGCCCGGCTGGGAGGAAGGGCAGACAGAAGGGTCTGTGCCGTGCGCGCAGGGTGCTGACTGTGGGAGACGGGCTGGGCGCCTGGCAGTCGCGCGTGTGTTTGAGTGTGCGCCACGTGGGCCCGGGCGCAGGGCGGGCTTGTGCTCGGTGACACACCTCCCGTGAGTACTATGGGGGGCTGTGGGTGATGGCCCCACAGCCGCACGTGTTTTCGGAGCGAGGAGAGGCTGAGCGCTCCCGCGTTTCCGGCCTGGGCAGCTGCGGGCTCTGTGGTTTGTGCAGGCAGAGCGCGGAGCGGGTCTTCTGGACGCGATGGCTTTGGAGTGACGAACACGAAGTCTCGGTGCCGTCTGGGTGAATTCGGAGCATCCGTTCTCGCGCCACCTGCCCCGCCCCCTTCCATCCAAGTGTCCGCAATCCCTACTCCTCGGTCATCCTGGTGTATCGTCCTCCATCGCTGATGCCCGGGGCTTTGCCAGCCTGCCCAGCCCCTGAGCAGCCCGTGGACCGGGCCTGGGCAGCGGAGAGCCTCTTTTCCTGAGAGCCGGCTCGTGCGTCAGGGCTGAGCCCAGGGGTTGGTGAAACACGGCCTTTTGATCCAGTCAATAAAAAAAGTGAAGATATGTGGAACTTCATGGAAAAGACCAGGCAGCGCTTGGTGTGTGTGTCTGTGTTCTCGTGGCAGCGCCGGCGTGTGCTGCGTGCCTGCTCAGGGGCGCCTTCCCTGTGACGCGCTGGGTGTCTGTGGTCTGTCTCACCAGTGTTCCGTTTTCTTTCAGATTTTCGAAAGGATATTATTTATCTGGGCCATCCGTCACCCTGCCAGCGGGTACGTCCAGGGGATAAATGACCTTGTCACTCCTTTCTTTGTGGTCTTCATTTGCGAGCACATAGGTAAGCATTGCACGTGCCTTTCCTCACGAGGTAGACGCGGCCCTGGTGGCCTTGCCGTGGCACGGCGTGGTGCGAGCAGAGCTGGAGGCTGCTGTGGCGTGTGGCTGTGACCCTGGCCCCAGCCCAGCCTCCTCGTGGCCATGCCCATGCCGGCGGCTGGGCAGGCGAGGTCCCGGCTTAGCAGCGTCTCCCTCCCACCCCCGAGCGAAGCACAGTGTGCTGGGGAGGCAGCAGAGCCGAGGGGAGCCGGGGCGGAGCCACTGGGCGTGCGGCTCGCACTGAGGTCAAACCTTCTTTCACGCTGTTTGTGCTGCGCTCCCCGCCTTCCCCCCTGACGGGCTGGGGCGTCTCGGGCCTGCAGAGGCCCGCACTGTCCCTGGCGGGCGGGCGGGCGGGTCACCATGCTCTGTCTCTGGCGGGCACTGGCTTCCTTGCGTGGCGCTGCCCCAGTCGGCTGTGCCGTAGCTTCACGCGCTGTGAACACGCTTTACGCTCTTTAAGAATTCTAGCCAGGGGAGCTGCTTCTTGACTCGTCTGTGAGCACAAACTGGACATGAACAGAAGGCCCGATGGAGCCTCAGTTGCTCCATTTTTATTCAAAACTGATTTCAGTTTGTCTCCTGCGGGGCCGTCTGTGTTCACGGCTGGGTCCTCCCCACCCCCGGGCCTGGCTGCTGCCATCTGGGCGGCTTCTGGGCCGACCCCTGCGGTGCGGGCGGCCACTTGGCGAGTCTCCTGCAGCCGCTTGCGCTCGGTCTCGCAGTCTCAGGCGGCCCGCCCATCGCTAGGCAACTAACGAGAACGGCCGCGCGCCCTGTCAGCCTGAGCGGGGAGCCCGCTGAGCCTCGGGTTCTGCCTCTTCCTCCCTCATTTGACAGATAATGAAACTGCTCTTAATGACCCGAGAACAGTAGGACCTCTGTCAGCAGACCTCGGAGCTGTTAATTGAAAGAAGAAGTTCAACTGAGATGTGATTAGAGAATTGATATTCCATGTTAAATAGACCATTTAATTAATGTGGTAAATAAGTTTGTCTTAACTGCTTTACCACCAACGTACGTTGTAAGGACCCAAGCGATGCTTAACGCGTCCGCCTGCGTCACCAGCCAGCCAGGACGGAGGACACGGCCGTGGAGTAATTGTGCAGAAACAGTGGAGAAAGCAGCCTCTATCTTCTTCAAGTGGGGGCTCCGTGGGCCCCGGCAGGCCCTCCTGGCGCTCCTGCAGCCCCCCGCGCGTGCACATGCCCACCCCCACCCGACCACGCGTGCACACACAGGGAGACGCGTGCACTGTGGATGCACCCTGGGGCTCAGAAGCGTTGGTGTGAGTGGCCCCGCTGTGTTCTGGCTGTTGACCTTGTGATTAATAACCAGTGGTTGTCTTTGGTGCCTGGTTTCAGATGTGCGCATGGGCTGGGCGCTGAGTCCTTGCCTCCAGCTCGGGTGACCTTGGGCACGCGGGCGCCCCGTGTGTCTAGTCCGCCAGGCCGCTCCTGCTGTCTCGGCAGGCGTCTGCCCCCTGCCCACCTTCCCGACCCTCCCGTCCCCCTCCAGTGCATAGCGCTGGGGAGAGGAGCCGGCAGCGCGTCCGCGGGTGTTGCCGAGGGCTCCGGGCCTCCGTGGGCACAGGCCCGTGAGGGGCGGCCTGTTCTGCCTTCCGGGAGCTTGTGGTTGTCACGGAAGACAGGCTTTATACAAGTAATTAAGAATTGCAGTACATTAGATACTCATGTTATCAAGAGGACGCAGGGGCTTCGAGCACAGGCCAAGTGTGGGGTCGGGTGCTGGGGCCAGGCCCGGGGTCCACCGCAGCGCTCGAGGCCCCGGAGTGCAGGTGCACGGGGCCGCCCGCCCCCTGAGGGCCTCGTGGCTCCCGGGGGCCAAGCCTGTCTGCTCCTTGGGTTTTCGTGGCCTTTCTAGCTGAGCTCAGGAAGCAGCCCCCCTTACCTGCAGGTGAAGCAGCCCCGGGGTGTGGGGTTCCGGCGGGAACCCCGGGCGGTGGAGGGGAATCCTCTTACCCGCGTGTTGTCTTCCTGTCCTCCCGGGCATTTATGTCATGCATCAAATTCCGTTTCATGCTTTTTTTCCCGTTTAACCTTAGAACATCAGCTTTCCCCGACGTTAAGAAATCTTTGTGAAGATCGTTTCTACCTCCTGCACGTCATGTTCTGTTGAGATAATGCAGCATAATTCATGAAACCATGCCGCAGTGGCTTTTTCTAGCCCCCCCAAGGCACGTTGTAATTTTTAAGTAAAGCCTGTATCTCCAGCAGTGACTGTCATATTCCTTTCAAGAATGTTAAATTGGATTTAAAATTAAGAGCCATTAGTCTATCACCTTGAATCACACAATTTACGCAGACAATTCTATTTTGGTTTAATTCAATATTTTTAGCGTGTCAAGAAATAAAGACGCTCTCCCACCTCCTTGATGCTCTTTGGGGTGCACATGGTTCCGACCGGCCCAAAGGCTGGCTCGGGGTGGTTGCCCGACCGCGGGCCGGCGTCACAGGGAGGCGAGGGCTGGTTCAGGCCGGCTTCACGGTCAGCCGGTGTCAGCCCATATTGACCGGGTTTTCCCTGCCATTTTCTCTCCATCCCTCTGGAGAGCAGAGGTGGGAGGGCCTGGGGTAGAGAACGAGTTTAATAACGTCGTAGCGTGTTCTTCTGAATGCGAAGGACGTTGGCTTCTACATTCCTGTTTGTGAGTCAGAATCTCCCAGCACAGGCTGTTGTCGGCACGACCCCGGCGCGCAGAAGGCGTGTTAGGGCACAGTTGGGCCGTGTGGGGCACCGGAGTGGTAGCCAGAGTGGGACCAGCGAGGGGTGAGCCGCCTGCCCCCCCCCGCCAGGTGCAGGTGGCCGCAGCAGCGCGCTGGCCGGGCCCTGTGGTGCCGCGCTGCTCGCCTCTCCGCTGTCCCGGTGTCATTGGGTCCTGAGTGCCTGAGGCGAAGAAGAGCGGTCTGGCTTCTCGTCGAGTGACTGCAGTTCGCACGTCTGTCGTCTTAACCGTCCTTGCTTCCGTTTGCGTTTGCCACGCCGCACTTTGTCTTTTCCCTGTTACATAAACCGGGAACCTTCTGCGTGGCTCCAGCGCGGGTTCTCATCCAGCGGGGCCCTGGGGCCGCAGGAAGTTGCGCGCATTATGCAGGTGAAGCGTGGGGCGTCTGCGTAGGGGGCTACCCACGGCAGCCCCCTGAACGCGGGGCGTGGGGAGTGGCGGGCTCCCGGGTGCGGGAGCGTGTGGGCTGCGACCCTGGTGCAGTGTGGTGTGACGGTGCGGGCGCCATCCCTGCGTAGCCCGCCTCTCAGTGAACTCGCTCTTCTTTTGAACAACGTTTTGATGTTGAAGTAATTGATGATGATGGGCTCATTGTTAAAAAAATGGGGAAATTCAGTCAAGTGTGGCTCCATACCCCAAGAGCATCCTGGGAAATTCTGCTGATTTCCTTCTGGCCTTTTGTCTCTGCTCTTTTGGACGTGGTGGTAATTATGTTACGCAGGTACATTTTAATACCGCCTTGTGTTTAATAGCTCAGCCTTTTCCAAAACCATTGAACGTTTTGCAAGTGGCTTTTAAAACGTTTTGCAAGTGGCTTTTTCACAATAGCGCATCAGAAAGCTGGACGGAACAGCAAGGAGCGAGAGAGACTGAGCACGCGGAGAACTAGCCAGACGCTCTGCCCTTGACCCAGCGCCCACCCAGCAGCGGCAGTAGCGGCCACACTCGGGCGGAAATCATGCAGCGCTCCCTGGTCGCGGTGATGTTAGGTTAGTTACCACTGACAGAGGGAAATGTGAAGCAGTTGACAAGCATGTTGAGATTTTAGATCACAGCCCTAAATAAGGAAAGAAGAGATTACAGGCAAAATTAGAACCACAGCACACCAGAAGTCGTGGAATGCGGCTATGGCAGTGCCTGGAGGGAAATGCATCGTGTAAGCAATTTCAATTTCAGAAACCAGAAAAAGAAGAGCCAACTAAAGCCAAAAGAAGCATGAAAGAAATCAAGACTGGAGCAGAAATAAATGAAGTAGCGAATAGAAAAAGGACTGAGAAGATCAGAAAAATCAAACTTGATTCTTCAAAAATGCCAGCAAGTTTTCCAAACCTGCAGCTGGACAGGGAGAGCGGGGCGCGGAGAATGTGCGTGCGTGCCCGGCCGGCGGCTCAGCCATCGTGTGCGGTTTCGGGATGAGCCGCGTTAGGGAATTCCATGGGTGATGCTCCAGATTGGGCCGTGCAGATGAAAAGGGGCTGTTCCCCAAACACTGAAGTCACCAAAACTGACGACGGTAGTTTATTCCGTGCTGGATTGGCTAAGCTCTAGGGCTCAGTGGTTTGGTCAAACACCAATTTAGGTATTGCCGTGAGGGCAGATTTTAGATGTAACATTTAAGCCAGTGGCCGTTGAATAAGGCAGATTTTCCTCCACAATGTGTGTGGGCCACCTCTCATCAGGGGAAGGCCCCAAGAATAGATGGAGATTTCCTGAAGAAGAGATTCTCACTAAGACACACAGCCCTGTGTAGGTGTCCAGCCTGCTGGCCTGTCCTGTAAGTTCAGACTGGCCAGTGCCCGTCATGGCATAACCCAATTTCCGCATTCTCCCTCTCTCAGTATGTAGACGTGGATACACGCTGAGGTTGTCTGTGTGTGTATGCAGTTGAAGCAAGTCAATCCGTACACGAGACAGCGTGTATAAGACCCCGAGTTACTCATTTCAAAAATTCTCACAAAGAAAAGCCTAGGACCAGGTAATGTCACCGGTGAATTCTACCAGACACCTAACAAGGAATTACCACCCCTCCTTCCCTGTTGCTTCCAAGAACAGGAGAGGAGGGAGGCGTGCCTTCCAGCTCATTCCATGAGGCCCGTGTTGTCCTGATACCAAAATGAGACAGAGACATCACAAGGAAAGAAAACCACAGGCCGGTGTGCCTTGCGAAGAGAGATGTGACCAACAACCCTCAACAAAATACTCACAGAGCAGCATAT